ATTTTTGTGTGTTGTTATCCCTAATTCGCTTCCATTAAGGGTAAACGTTGCTTGTGTATTCTTTACGCCGAAGTGCATAACTTGCATTTTTCAACATTAAATTTCATCTGCCCTTTGAGTGCCCAGTCCCCCAGTCTATCTAAATCCCTCTGCAGCAAAGTAATATCTTACTCACATTGTATTATTTTACAGAGTTTTGTGTCATCTGCAAACACTGAAACATGACTTTCAATGCTTTCTTCAAGATCATTTATAAAAATGTTAAATAGAAGGGGTCCCAGAACAGACCCCTGAGGGACACCACTTGCCACCTCTTTCCAGCTTGAAAATTTACCATTAATGACAATTCTTTGTACTCTATTTTTAAGCCAATGTTCTACCCAAGAACAAGCATTTTCATCTAGACCGATTTCCTTGAGTTTGAACACTAATCTATTGTGTGGAACTGTATCAAATTCCTTGGCAAAATACAAATAGATCACACCCACTGCAACACCCTGATCTATACTTCTACTTACTTCTTCGTAGAACACAATCATGTTAGTTTGACATGACCTGTGCTTCATAAAACCATGCTGATTTTTGCTGATAACCATGTTCTTCTCAAGGAATTCTTGAATATTATCCCTTAATAACCTTTCAAATATTTTCCCAGCCACAGAAGTTAAGCTCACAGGTCTATAATTTCCAGGAAAGGATTTCGAACCCTTGGAATCGTTCCGTTGTTCTTTGTCTTTAAAAAATCTTTTGATAGTTTGTTTTCTAAGAAATTTTTGATTTTCTAGATAAAGATTAAAGAAATTCAAGTTAGAAGTAGGGGCAAATTTAGGTCCCTTTTTTAATAATGATAGTTCATGGGGTGCAAGAGCTACACTTGAGATATTGAAAATACCTGTAGTATCTTCTGGTTCTGTCTGTAAGGAAGATGTAGTGTTGTTTCGTCGTCCTCCACTTCTGAGTGTGGTCTCTTTTTTTTTTTATTTATTTTTTTTATGGGTGCCTGAGCACGATTTTGAGTGTGGATCAGGTAGAGAGTTCGGTCTAAATTTTTGATCTGGCCCCTTGTCTATAAAAAAATCTCTGAAACATGCTGATTATTTTGATGTTTAAACCTAGACCAGTTTCTTTGATTACCCTTTTTGTAATCTTCTTGGTCTCTTTGAAATTTATTAGCTTTAATATTAGAGATTCTCTCATCCACAATTTAGATTTTTTTTTTCTTTTAATATTTTATAGTTATTTTCCACTGCTTTAGGTTCTCTAAAGGTAGAGATCTCATTTTCTAAAGTTGAGATCTCTTCCTCTAATACTTTGAGTAATCTTTTTTGATAATTAACTAGACATCATATATTTCCTAGAGCATTGATCATTGGCATTATGCCATTCTTCCATGAGCAGTTTGTCCTCTAAACCAAAAGCTGGGGTCTTAAGAATTCTTAAACTCCGAGGTATGGTATCAGAGTCCAGGTATTGCTCTAAGGAAGTAATTTCCCACCATTTGCGGGTTTCTATATCTAGAAGATGTTCTAATTTAACAAATTTACGGTTTTGTGAACTATCCCCTACTTGGGGATCTCCCTTAAACAGGGAATCAATTATCTTTTTCCTTTCATTCCTGATTTCATCATATACATTTTGAGAAGCCATAACCAATAGTATATACTTTTTTTTTTTTTTTATATCTCTTTATTTTATTATATGAAATTTTAACATTTGCATATGAGGTATCCCAAAGGCAATCCTCCAGCACATTAAGACAACCAAATACAAAAGATAAATGTTAAAAAGGACAGCAAAAAGGTTAAACACAAAAAAAAAAAAGGACAATAAAATAATAAAAGAAAAAAAAAATCAATGTAACTGCTAAGAGCATAGATAGGTAGGCAGTATATTATAATATAGGCACTGTGTAGTATTAAACACTGAATGATACACATATAGTACAGTGTATTCGTTGAGAGCCATCATGCACCCAATGTGTATTTCCATCACACTACACTTGTCCAATGCCAATCGCTATCAAAAAACGGGTTAACGCCAACATATCCCATGGTATAGATATCACATTGAAAAAAAATATATATAAATAGTTATAATACAAATAATTACTCCTCTGAGACTCGATAAGGGGGGGACCACAATGCATAATCATGAATTCTGTCTGTTTGTCCAGGGTAACCATAATTTGGCCACATCTCTAGTACCAAAAAAGGGAATTGATTCCATCCTATATTGATACTCTATTTACTCCATAATATTGTGCCATAATAATGGGATAGAAGATTTCCAAGCCCTAGCTATACATATTTTAATAGCAAAAAATATGAGTCAAGAGATATTTTTGATATTTGTCCTGTGAAGGAAAACCAATGTTGAAGAGAAAAAGTTGAGGACTAATTTCTTTTATCTCCTTAAAAATAGAATTAATAAGGCCAAACATTTGAATTTTTATATTATCCAGACCATGACACTCCCACCATATATGGTAAATAGTTCCCTCCTCAGTTCCACATCTCCAACAATTCTTAGAATGGACAGATGATATTTTGTATAGTCTAGTCGGTACCATATACCACCTATATATTATCTTTAAATGTGTTTCATAAAGAGAGACACTATGTATACAACGTTTAACTAGGAGTGTAGCTTTGGTCCATTCCAGAAGTGAAAAGGATTCCCCAATATCTTGTTCCCATTTAACAAAAGAGGTAGCATGAGAATCTTGTTCCATTGATTCTAGCACCTTAATAAATCTAGAGATCCCACCCTTCTTTTTATATAATATAATAAGGGGATTAACAATATGGTCCTTAAGTATGGTCCGAGAAAGTATAAAATTCTTAATCCTTAAATATTGGAAAAGATCTCTGGGGGGAAGATTAAACTTTTCTTGCAATTGTGTAAATGGGATGGGTTTAGATCCATCCCATAAATCCGAGATCTTCGTTAGACCTAGATGTATCCAAGATTGAACATTTATATTATCCATTATATATTGTAGGACCACTAATGGAACTCTATATAATAACTTATCTTCCAACTTCAATTTTTTATTTAGAATTCTAGAAGTCTTGACCATATCTATCAATATTCGGTTCGAAAAATTCTTGGTATCCAATTCACCCAAATTTAACAAACCCATCCAAAAAAGAACAAACAATTTACTTCTAGGGCTATCCTCCTGTTCTAGGGTAAACCATGATATGGATCCCTGTTCCCTATCTAACCACTGTAATAGATGAGTCGCCATACATGCTTCATGAATTTTATCAACATCTGGAAATGCTATACCACCCTTCTGATAGCTCCTTCGAAGAGTGTCAAAAGCTATCCTAGGTGGTTTATTTGCCCAAATGCATTTGGAAATCAAAGTATATATCAATAGTATATACTTTAACAATAGGGATATATATGTGAGGAAACAAAATATAGTAAAAAGCAAGACAGATATAATCACTAACGTGCAAATATAATATGTTAAAACTAAGTGATCCCAGGTGTACCTCAGAAAACACCTAATTATACAATGAAACTAAACCAAAAATGGGAAAAACCTAGTATGCGTATAAAATATATGTAAACCACCTGGAAAAGCCGACCAGGATCAGTAGATCAATTGAAGATCTATAATAATAATGAACAAAACATAGCGTAATATAATTTAAACAAAATAATAAATGTGGTGTAAGTAGAAAACTCACAAACAAATGATGGTATCAGGCTTTTCACCCCAGCCGGGGTTAAATGGATCAGGACAAATTCCGGATGATTTAGATGATGTAGATCCTTGTGTGTATAAAAGGAAACAAGACCGCATATGGTGAAGTAAAATAACAACCTGGAAAATCTATTTAGAATGCACTTACAGACTGAAGGTTTTTTGTTTAAACTATATTACGCTATGTTTTGTTCATTATTATTATAGATCTTCAATTGATCTACTGATCCTGGTCGGCTTTTCCAGGCGGTTTACATATATTTTATACATATACTAGGTTTTTCCCACTTTTGATTTTGTTTCATAAAAGATATGTGTCTATAATGATACATATATTGTGTATCTTTAATCCTTCCATTTTTTCATGCTATACCTTTAACAAGTCTATGGTATTTATTTGGGTTCTGTTTCAGATGTGGTAGTTGGTACCTATTAGGCTGGGTTTAGTCCCATTCCCACAATATTATCATTAGAGAGGTGGGCAATTCTCTTGATATCCATAGAGTGGATGCTTTGTCTTATAAAGTAAAGGGTATGCCTTAAGTTTTGGTGGAGGTTTATCCTTTTTATTATTTTTGATAATTCTATATTAGAGACCTCAATTTAACTCCTAAATCATCAAGTATGTTAGGACTATGTCTCCATTCTTTTCTACAGAATATTGCTAAACCCTCTATGATAAGTACTGATCAGCATGGGATCCCTTTAAATTGTGTTTTTTTGGCTTATTACAGCCTCACCCATTTGCAGGACATAGTCTGTCTCCTATCATTCCACTATGTAATCTATGTAGCACCCTATGGTGTATCCTATATTGTTTTTTTCAGTATTTTTCATTTTTCTCTTTTTCTTTCTATATCTGCAAATGCTATGAAATAATATTGAATATGGATTATTTACTTCACTATGATATAATGTGTGCAGTAATAATAATTGCATAGTGGTTTACACATTGTAGCATTGCCTGTTTTGTATCCTCAGCTACTGTGTAATTTTATCATTTTTATATATGTTGCGGTGGATGGTGTTTCTGTGACAACCATCTCCCAATAAGGCCATCGAACGTTCGCTTACGTGATGAGGTAATGATGTCGACGTCACATGATGCCGTCATGCACGCATGCACTGACTCTGACGGAACCCGCGCTGGATTCAGATGGGGCTGACAGGGAGTAGGAGAATATTCCGGTGGTGGGTAAGTTAATTGTTTGTATGTATTTGGGTATATATGTCAGCACTTGTTTAGGGTTTAGGGTAGGTCAGTAGTCGCTGGTACTGGCGTCTAGGTCCATCCGAGCTCAGCCGCCTGGACAAATGTCCAGGCTTGAGTTTTCGCCTGCTCCATCGCCATTTTTTGGCTCTGCTTCTTGAACGTTGCGTGCTTGCTGTGAGGCTGTGGTGGCGATGCCATAGGAGAGTGTTTACATGCTTTTTGCTTGATAGCCTGTTCTCTAGATGCCAGATTTCTCCAAAACTTGGCAAATATGGTGTCCAGCTTGGACTCAAAGTCTGACTTCATGCTCCACCATCCGCGGGCCGAGGTGAGCCACCCCGGGCTCTGGATTTGCAAAAATGCTCAGGTAAGGTATCATGAGGTTCACCAGAGTACCCCTGTCTGAGGCAGTGCCCTTTGGTGCAAGTGCAGGCTCGGTATGTCAAGATATTCCCAAAAAACCCGCCGATTGTCTGGGAGCCTTTACAATATGCGTCTGCTTGGCTTGTAGGTCAGGCTCCGCCCCCTTTGAAGAGCTAAGAACCCTTGGCCCTTCCATCAGTCGCATTTCAAGCCTCCCAGTGTTGGTAGGTAGTAGAAATTGATTAGCATACTGGTTCTGCTCTTGTTTATGGGGCTTGATGGTTAGAGGACAACCACAAAATGCTAATTTTATTTACATATCAAGTGATCAACAGAGAGAAAAAAGGAGTAATAAAATAATATATAGTTCAAAGCAGAATTTTTTCTATCACAGGATGTCACAACGAGATGTAACTTAATTTTAGACAGACTAGATATGTGGGCCATTTTTGTTCTTGTCAGGGTGGCAGGGGTGAGTGGGTGGTCAATTGCACACTGATATTTTCCTTTCATTTTTGGATAAATCCCTATTTTTCAATTTAGAATGATTCCTGCTCCAAATTTTTCCAGAATACAGGATAGCAAAAGCAAAAAGATTACACTCATTATAGATCATCATCTTTCTGTTTTTTAGTTTTTTTTTTAATCCGGATATATAATAATCTAATGTTGGCAACTCAGAATTGACATTACAATGGGCCAGGCAATATTGTAGAAATGTTTGTATGCCAGCACAGTCATAGCCACTTTGTTTACTGCTGTTCTGGCTCCATGAATAATTTTCTTGAATATTTTTGGAACTGAAAGTCGACAGAGATGAACATTTATATGAACTAAATTGTTTCATCTCAAAATGGTTTTTTTTGTGTGTGTGTGTGTGTGTCACATTGGACCAGAAGAACCAGAATCTTTCTCCCTGCATTTTTCAACTGTAAACCTTCCAATCTTTAGAGTTGATATATAACACACACACTAGAGATGCAGCTGTAGATCTACAAACAAATGAGCAGCATATAGTATAATATTCTTAGAAAATGCAATGTTATATAGTTACGTACAGTGGTGTATTTTGGAGTTGTGCTGCCCTAGGCACGACTAAATTCGGGCACCCCCAAAATCTAAATTTGACCCCCCAATTCATGTCAAGGCCACTTTTTTGACTGACAGACACATGCCCTCATTGATACATGCACTGATATACACTCACTGACAGATACACACAGTCATAAGCACACACTGTTTAACCAACACTTTCACTGACAGGCACACACTGACACACCCACTCACTGACAGGCACACACTCTCAGATACACATAAAATGACATACACACAAAATGACATACACACATTGACACACACTCACAGGCACACCCATTCTCACTTGAAAAGAGACATGTGCCCATCAAGTTCAGCCTTCCTCACATCTGTTTTTTGCTGTTGATCCACAAGAACGCAATACAATCCGGTTTGAAGCACTTACATTTTTGCAACAAACTAAGGGGGGAAATCCTTATTGAACCCAGAATGGCAGATTTATCATTGGATCAAGAAGCTATTACCCTACAGTGGAAAAATGATATAGTTGAATATTATGTTTTTGCAAGTATACTTCTAGTTGCTGTTTAAACACTCTGATAAAACCACTTCTTCAGGCATGAGAATTCCACATTCCTATTGTTTTTAAGGTAAAAAAAAAAAACCTTTACTTTGCCTAAGACTAAATCTTTTTTTTCTTCATGTCTAAACGCATGACCTTGTGTCCTATGCAATCTGTGCTACTAATATTGCACTCACACAAAGGATGAAAGTCAAGCGCTTCAGGGTGCCACCACCCTGTGGGGGAGCCAGAAGAAATTATGTCCCTCTTGGTGTGTGAGAACCATGGATTAAGTCAAATTCATCAGGACTCCAGGTAGGTATCAAAGTAGATTTATTCAAACTTGGTCTGCAATAGTAATAAAATCTAAAATCAAATATGACTGTCCAATTAATTTCTTCTACACCCTGTTCCAAATTATTATGCAAATTCTATTTAAGTGTCACAAAGATTAAATATTTTGTTTTTCGGTTTAACTCATGGATGGCATTGTGTCTCAGGGCTCTTTTGATCATTGAAAACAATATAGGACACCTGTGATAATTAGATTGCCAGGTGAGCCCAATTTAAGGAAAAACTACGAAAGGAGGGTATTCCACATTATTAAGCAGAGCACCATTTTCATGCAATATGGGAAGAAAAATGATCTCTCTGCTGCCGAAAAGAGTGAAATAGTTCAATGCCTTGGATGAGGTATGAAAACATTAGATATTTCATGAAAATGTTAAGAGATTTGTGGCTGATTCAGAGCACAGATGGGTTTGTGCAGATAAAGGCACATTGAGGAAGATTTCTGCCAGATCCATGCATCGGATCAAGAGAGCAGCTGCTAAAATACCATTACATAGCAGCAAACAGATATTTGAAGCTGCTGGTGCCTCTGGAGTCCCACGGACATCAAGGTGTAGAGTCCTCCAGAGTCTTGCAACTGTGCATAAACCTTCTATTCTGCCACCACTAACCAATGCTCACAAGCAGAAACGGCTGCATTGGGCAGAAAAATACATGAAGACTAATTTTCAAACAGTCCTGTTCACTGATGAGTGCCGTGCAACCCTGGATAGTCCAGATGGTTGGTGGACAGCCACCCTGTTCCAACAAGGCTGCGACGTCAGCAAGGCGGTGGTGGAGTCATGTTTTGGGCCGGAATCATGAGAAGAGAGCTGGTCGGCCCCTTTAGGGTCTCCGAAGGTGTAAAGATCACCTCTGCAAAGTATGTGGAGTTAATGACTGACCACTTTCTTCCCTGGTACAGAAGGAAGAACTATGATTTCCGTAATAAAATCATCTTCATGCATGACAATGCACCATCTCATGCTGCAAGAATACCTCTTCATCAATGACTGCTATGGGGTTAAAAGTAGAGAAAGTCATGGTGTGGCCTCCATCCTCCCCTGACCTCAATCCTATTGAGAACCTTTGGAGCATCCTCAAGGAAAAGATCTATGAGGGTGGGAGGCAGTTTACATCCAAATAGCAGCTCTGGGAGGCTATTCTGACACCTTGCAAACAAATTCAAGCAGAAACTGTCCAAAAACTCACAAGTTCAATGGATGTAAGACTTGTGAAGCTGCTATCAAACAAGGGGTCCTATGTTAAAATGTAACGTGACCTGTTAAAATGTTATAAGTTTGATTGAAATACACTGCTCAAAAAAATAAAGGGAACACTTAAACAACACAATGTAACTCCAAGTCAATCATACTTCTGTGAAATCAAACTGTCCACTTAGGAAGCAACACTGAGTGACAATCAATTTCACATGCTGCTGTGCAAATGGGATAGACAACAGGTGGAAATTATAGGCAATTAGCAAGACACCCCCAATAAAGGAGTGGTTCTGCAGGTGGTGACCACAGACCACTTCTCAGTTCCTATGCTTCCTGGCTGATGTTTTGGTCACTTTTGAATGCTGGCGGTGCTTTCACTCTAGTGGTAGCATGAGACGGAGTCTACAACCCACACAAGTGGCTCAGGTAGTGCAGCTCATCCAGGATGGCACATCAATGCGAGCTGTGGCAAGAAGGTTTGCTGTGTCTGTCAGCGTAGTGTCCAGAGCATGGAGGTGCTACCAGGAGACAGGCCAGTACATCAGGAGACGTGGAGGAGGCCGTAGGAGGGCAACAACCCAGCAGCAGGACCGCTGCCTCTGCCTTTGTGTAAGGAGGAACAGGAGGAGCACTGCCAGAGCCCTGCAAAATGACCTCCAGCAGGCCACAAATGTGCATGTGTCTGCTCAAACGGTCAGAAGCAGACTCCATGAGGGTGGTATGAGGGCCTGATGTCCACAGGTGGGGCTTGTGCTTACAGCACAACACCGTGCAGGACGTTTGGCATTTCCCAGAGAACACCAAGATTGGCAAATTCACCACTGGCGCCCTGTGCTCTTCACAGATGAAAGCAGGTTCACACTGAGCACATGTGACAGACGTGACAGTCTGTAGACGCTGTGGAGAACGTTCTGCTGCCTACAACATCCTCCAGCACGACCGGTTTGGCAGTGGGTCAGTAAGGGTGTGGGGTGGCATTTCTTTGGGGGGCCGCACAGCCCTCCATGTGCTCGCCAGACGTAGCCTGACTGCCATTAGGTACCGAGATGAGATCCTCAGACCCCTTGTGAGACCATATGCTGTTGCGGTTGGCCTTGGGTTCTTCCTAATGCAAGACAATGCTAGACCTCATGAGGCTGGAGTGTGTCAGCAGTTCCTGCAAGACGAAGGCATTGATGCTATGAACTGGCCCGCCCATTCCCCAGACCTGAATCCAATTGAGCACATCTGGGACATCATGTCTCGCTCCATCCACCAACGTCACGTTGCACCACCGACTGTCCAGGAGTTGGCAGATGCGTTAGTCCAGGTCTGGGAGGAGATCCCTCAGGAGACCATCCGCCACCTCATCAGGAGCATGCACAGGCGTTGTAGGGAGGTCATACAGGCACGTGAAGGCCACACACACTACTAAGCCTCATTTTGACTTGTTTTAAGGACATTACATCAAAGTTGGATCAGTCTGTAGTGTGTTTTTCCACTTTAATTTGGAGTGTGACTCCAAATCTAGACCTCCATGGGTTGAAAAATTTGATTTCCATTTTTTAATTTTTGTGATTTTGTTGTCAGCACATTCAACTATGTAAAGAACAAAGTATTTCAGAAGAATATTTAATTTATTCGGATCTAGGATATGTTATTTTTGTGTTCCCTTTATTTTTTTGAGCAGTGTAGCTTTTGATTTCAGTAAATATGCTGCAAACACAACAAATTTAAATTTTCAGTTCTTTACAACCTATACAGTGTTTTGAAACTTACTGTGCGTAATAATTGGAACAGTGCATTGTAAGTTTTTT